CCCCAAAACCCCAAAACCCCAAAACCCCAAAACCCCAAAACCCCGCTTCATCCATTTCCGATTGAAATGCTATCGACAGCAACACAAAATAAGGTTTCGAAAGCATTTTAATCTCCAAAAATTCTCGAAATAAGTAGTTACTGAGAAAGAATCCTCTGACATTTCAGCTTTTAGCCGGTAAACATGGCGATATAGCCATCGTAATTCTTCTGTCCTTCTGGCTCGTCTCTGAGGAAAGTGAAGACTGGGGGTTCATATCCCTTCTTGTCTTCATAGAGATTTGGATTCATATTTGTATCTGGTCCCATTACGAAAGCACCAGCAGTATCATCGAAGTAAACTCCTGAAATGAAGAAGTTTTGCTCTGGAACTGTCTTAAAATCTTTAGTGTCTCCGTCAATACTCTTAATGAGGTTATTCGCTACCATCAGAGCTCCTGTTACAGCTGCTGGAACATTTTTAGGCTCATTTAGTTTAGAAATACTACAGTCCCCAAAGGCAAAGACATTATCAAGTACCTCTTCTGATCCACTTGTCCTTCCAGTGAGGGGATCGGTATTGGTAACTTGATAATACTCGTTAATAAAGATATGTCCTCTATCTCCTTTGAAGCTAGAAAATTTCTTATCCATAAATGGAGTAAGAACCTTAGTACCAACACAGTTGAGGACGTAGTCATACTCTTGAGCCAATTCATGAGAAGGATTATACCTCGTATTGAAGTATAAGTTAACATTTTTGCTTTCAAAATGTTCTCTTGCCATCTCAGATGCTTTGTCTCCATAAGCTTCGATGAGTTTTGACGAATTTGTAGCGATTCCTAACTTCTTTTCTCCTTTGTACTTAATCAGGATCTCTCCTGCACATTCAAGCCCAGTTGGACCTCCTCCGACAATCAAAACAGACTTAGCTCTGTCGATTTCATCTCTGTATTTAGCATAGAACTCCGATTTATCCTCACTAGTAAAGATATTAAAAACATCTTCAGCAGGGTGATTAACTGACCAGACACTCCCAGTACAGATCGCCAAGTAGTCGAATCTTAATTTCTTAGTAGAAGAGCCTGGGTGGCCTGCCTTCCTCCCAGCAGTTGGAGTGTACCTCAAGTTATGAGTGTCAACAAGCTCAGTCACAAGTCCTTGCTCAAACTTAACATTTGAGCCAAAGACTTTCTTGATGTTGAGAGAATTATGGTAGCTTTCAGAAATTCTTTCAAAGTTTCCTTTCTGGTGAATATTTGCTGGAGCACCTGTGACGTACTCAAAGAAGTCCTTCTTGTCAATCACAGTGACTCTGAACTTGTCCTTCACTTGATGAAGGAGGTTGTAGCCTCCATACTGGAAGCCAACAATCACAAGATGTGGCAATGATGATCTTGCTTGGTTTGATGATGAACAACCCATTGTAAATAATTAAATTTATTTTTACTTATATTCCAAAATCTGTGACGTCCTTTATGGGGTTTTGGGGTTTTGGGGTTTTGGGGTTTTGGGGTTTTGGGG